TGCTGAAAACAACAGCGGCGGAGAACGGCACCTCCCCAGGCAGAAACTATGAAGCACCGTATAGCATCAATCCGAAATAACGTGACAAGGATTACGCAAATATGAATATTACTCATATATGAACTTGTTGCTATTAAGGAGATCTATGGTGCAGTTTGTTATCTACTCATTCGAGAAGATGATCGGCGGTTCTCAAGATCAAGCTGTACAGTGTTACAAATGAGCAACACTCTCACAAAGACATCACCTTGCTTAGTCTGAGAGGACTGAACGTTTGTACATATTTTCTATTACGTGTATCATTAATCAATGTTAAGTAATTAAAAAAATATGCACAAATTCCAAGATGTCATAGATCTCTTAACGCTATTTTTGTAACATATTAAAAATTTTGCAGCCATTTAAGATTAATAATGAACTACATATATACAATTTATTTTTATTTCTAAATGAATTATAGTGTATAACCGGCGTGATATGTCTGCGTGCATTATTTATCAAAATCGAAAATTGTAATAAACTAATTTTTTTTTAAATAGGTAAGTGAATTTTCTCAGATTCAATATCAATCAATATCAATATCAAATTTGATATACCCTCTAATTTTTAAGAGAACTAATTTTAATAATGAAACTAAAAGTTACATGTTAAACCGTTAGTTTGTACGTATATTTTAAATGGCTGATAAGCTTTAATTTGGTTAACAACTTAACACGGTGGGTGTGATGGGGTGGGGGAGATTCTGCAATTTGTATCGTTTCGATATATTTTGATATAGTGATATGATGGTTAAAGGTTAGCATTTATTTGTCAAAATAATTTTTGTCGCGGCATATCGCCATATCGCCAGCGATACAATAAATGATACAATCAGTCTCCGGGATTGCCTTTTCTATTAATACGGGTATAGTAAAAAAGGTTAATAAAGTTAAGAAATAAAACTGTACCTTATCACTCAGTTCCCTTTCTCGCGGTCTCTTCTTTCTCATCGCTATTTGCGCAGATGTTTCTTTGCCTGTCATTGCATTCTAAAACATAATTACGAAAAAGAATAGCAATTAACACGAATATGCGTATTTAGCAATTTATTTAGATAATTTATATGACAACAATATTCTTACAATGAATTGTGTTGTTTATAAATAAATAAATTGTAATTATGCAAATTTTTATTTCAAGTAACACATTACCGTCATCATCGTTTAAAAAGCTGTTCCGTTGTGACATCATCAAGTCGCTGCTGCTTTCAAGCACTATAATAATAAGATTTTCACATATTGGTATGAATATGTAACACTTCTGTAACCCAACTACGTAAAATATCATTACCTATGTTACTAATTAAGGCACATATATTGGTGATTTCTATTTTAATTACATGTACTGAAACGAGCTCTAAACACGATTTTTCAAATTAAAGCCACAAGTTTTTGGAAACTCAAAAGTTATTACAGATTTTTGAAAACTCAGAAGTTATTACAGATTTTTGAAAACTCAGAAGCTATTACAGGATTTTCAAAAATTTCACTTTTTTTTTACAAACTAATAAATATTGCTTGTCATTTTTTGTTACAATACATATGACTGCGTACTTATTTTCAGATTTCAGATTATTAGTTCCATATTACCGTTTACAGCATCTTCTTCCTCGACATCTTCCTCCTCGACATCTTCCTCCTCGACGTCTTCCTCCTTGATTTCGTCCACCTCGACATCTTCCTCCTCGGCCTCGTTTACACGACTTTGCGCAGTTCGATTTCTGCCTCATCGGTTACGGCCTGCACATTGACATCGATTGCTTCTGAAAAAAAGATAAATCAATTAATCACGCACTGTAATAATATAGCTAACAATATACCACATATATTATTATTTCACTTTATTTCTGTACTATATATATATGTTTATATTCGTATAAAAATAAATTTCAATCTAATCTTCTTTAAAACATTAATTTTATCATTTTCATTAACATGAATCGTTTCTGAAAGCAAGATTAGTCAATTATGCCGATTTTATCTTATATTCAAAAAATGTTGGCACGCAAATTACCTTTTCTTACAGTTTTCCGAATAGCAACAATTCCCTTCGTCTTATCAGTGTCCCTATTAAGATCGCTGATTTTCTTACTGATGTAATGTGGTACGTTGCGACACTCAATATCTACCTCAATTGCGGGTAGTTTTTTTTCGTTTACCAGCCAATATCGGTATATGTCTGTACAGAGGTCGCGGTTGTATACAAGTTAATATTTTTCACACAAATAATATTCAAATGAAAACATGAAATTACAAATTTGTCTATATTCGTACCTTGAATTGCCAGCATGCGTCGGTCGTCTAATTTTTTCTTTGGTGCCCTATTCCTGTATTTGTTGCTGACATGTCTTGAAACACTTGACTCCATCAGTGTCTTCAGTCCATAGACAGCAAGGGCCAGATTCTTCACTACGATTTGTAGCGATCGCGGCTTTGCAACCGCAGAGTTGTACGCCTCTGTTGATAACCAAATATCTCTCCCTAAGTGGATCTAAAAAGTAAATAAAATAAGCGAGTTTCAGATGTTTCTGGGAAAGAGAACAGCGTATGTTGCGACTTACAGTTCCGTTGCTCTTACGAATGTAGCCCACAGGCAGTGTATTGGCTCCCTTGCGACTTTTTAACTCGTCCAATTTATCAGCTGTGGCTACAAATACATTGACAAACAAACAACTATATACATGTGAATTTAATTAAATATATATCTTTTATAATTTTAGTATTAATTTGAATGCTTTATAAAGGGACTTTTCAATAATGACAATTTGTTGGGAATGTACAGTACAGTAAATTATAAAAAATGACCTGACAATTTCATTAACGTTTTGTCTACATTTCATGTTGTTATTTTCATAATAAGAGACGTTTTTTCAAGGCACATTATTATTTTGTAAAAGTAAGACAGATGCAATATCTTTTGATTATAATCGATATATTTTTACTTGCATATTTGCATCTTACAAATTACCTTATAAAGCTGGCAGTTAACAAAGAACTGTACTGTAACTCTATAAGCATTGAATTATTGCTTTAATAAGCCTGCAAATAACAAAAGTTTAAGCATATGATTTGCGTTTACCTTTGAATTTGTTGAAATAAGAAATTACTTTATGTTGTAAATTATTATTTAATGACGTCGCCTCTTCTAACAAAAGCGTCAGCCGTTTAATCTCGCCATCTTTCTCCAGAAGGTGCAGCTTTTGGCCTTTTAACTCTTTCTCGAGATTAGCATGAGACTTAACGTTGCACAAATCGCGTGCTGCAGATTTGTCGCAAAAAGCATATGTACTATAAAAACAGTACTTATCGTATTACTTGGTGCATTGTAACAACGAATTACAACTACTTACGGCTGCAGTGAGCTTGGCTTTTTTCGCCAATTTGTCTGATGAGGAGTCCAAGTTGTTTCTTTTCCGAGATTCGTTTGTCTGATAAAAAGTCGAAAGTTAATTATTACACTATATTTACATTTACCGGAAACGTATAACGCTCACATTAACTGAAATTAGTACTTAATATATTTACGCATTTGGGGATTTCATTATTTCTTATGGCATGTAAAGTTCGGCTGCTAATTGCATGAAAATAACGTTTCTCGTCAAATTCATCGGTTTTCAACTTACATAAGTAATGAACAAAATTCTATTCAGGAAATGTCATAACATCATTTTAAAGATCTAAACTAATACATTAAAAATAGTTTAATATTTTTTATATTGGAATCCAAGATATGACTCATTTTTTAAAAAAGATACGTTTCAAGTAAACAGATTTAGTAACCATACTTGTACTTACGGTAGTAGATATGAGCTGCTTCGGTGATGAGAGTTTTTCTTTCTCGCGCATGTTACCGCCGGCTGATTTGGAGATATTTTTTATTTTTGCGTGCAACGCGGTTCGTATGTCTGCCGATTGATCTTTCTACAAGAATACATAAAGAATTAAATTTTTATCTCCTAGGTGCCTTATTGTAAATACACCCTACTTTCTCAAAAACTAAATTGCAGGATACTACGAGATACATACTACGAAATATTTCAGATAAAAGTGCCAGTATTTCGTGGGGAGGGGGGGCGGCATTATTACTGTCTATATTTACAGCACAATTTCAGTCATTTCATAGTTGATATGTTTGTTTGTTTCAGAAACGTGTATTTTTTACGGGGCGTTGTTTACCGCATTTAATACAATATTTAAACAAAATTTCAATTGTTAATATTAATACAATAAATTTCACATTTTTAAAACAAATTTCTTATGTTGTAATAGTATTTTTGTATGGAGTAAGATATAATAAAAAATAAAGGTTTTATTTTCAAATAAAATAATTTGCCTTGAAATAACTGTAACGACCTCTAAATACAAAACTGCTCTAGTATCATTTTCTTTCCTTATAGGAATCCTGAAACTATTGTCTGAAACCTTCGGTATCTCCTACATATTTAATGAAAATCGCGCGGGACAAAGTTATCGAACACCCTGTATACGTAATAGTATAAAAAATAATACATGGAATTAATTCTTACCTTATTCTTTATAATGGCGCCAGCATCGGTATCCGTTGTGGTGGTATCGTCGGCCTCTTCTATTCTGTTTTTTGCTAGCACTATTATTCTTTTCGTCTTACATATTTTAGCTTGTGCTTCTTCCAGACTATCTGAAATATGTATGCATTCGCAAGAATAATATATTAATTTGTAAGTACAATAAATTGTACAATGAGGATACGGAAATAATACATACAAATTACTTCGGCTGTAATTATATTTGTAATTAATAATAACATTGATTTTAATTAATTTAAAAAAAGTAATTAGTAATTAAATAATTATTTATTAAATATATGTCCATCTCTAATCAGAACTGTCCTAGAGAACTTCTCAATTGAATGCATGAAAAGTAATTTTACTTTACTTTTGCACAATAAAACATTTGCTGGTTGTGGCATGTGCAAATTAGTTTTTGACAATTGTTTATATAGGCCGTAGATTATTTAATGTGTCAGAACTAGCAGGAACTGTGTATGCTTCGTCAAAATCGGTCGAAAACATATTACAAAAAAATTTTAATATTTACAAGTGTGCTACGCGGGAAGTTAATCGGCACGACATTTTTCAAATATCTGTTTTTTCACTGAAAAGCACATGGTAGAAAAACCATGTGCTTTTACAATCTCGTTCAAACATATTATATTACTTACATAAAATATAGCTTACCTTCAACGAAAATTATGAGCCCTTGGCATTTTGTTTCCCCGCACTGAACTTTGTAATATTTATTTTTATGCCAATTGGCCTTGTTGAAAGATTTTATTTTGTTAACTTTCACAATGTCTTTGTCTTCATGACGTGCGCATGGCGCCGCAAACTTCATGTACGCGAACATGTTACACGCATCTGCACTCAACGATCCCGCCGATTTGTTTAATAAACACACACGTGCCGCGGTATCAGGTCGCAGATTGTGATCGGGCAGGTCGGGCACGGTTATTGCGGGGCAGTTAGGTCGCGATGATCACGCATAGAATCACGCGGACGGACAATAATGGGCAGGGGATCACGAACGACACAGAACAATGACCACTGGCACGCGCAGCGCGCAGTTTCGGCGAGGTATAATTGCCGCGCTTTATACCGCAGACAGGGGGCGTGCGCATGGTCGCAGAAAAACAGTGGTCTCCCCGCAAAGTGACTCTCGGAAGTTTTTCCGCCCCTACCTTCTTCCGCAATGTGGACATCCCCTCTACGACCATCCATTTCAATGTTTACAACTCACGTACATGCTAGCGTACATGTGTATGGTACCGCCTTTCTACATAAATCACGTCTACAATCATACTAGAGTCCTGTCCGTGTGAAGGAGGGGAGCGAATTCAGTTTACGTAAACATATTGTACGCTTCAAAAATAGGTAAGGGTTTTATGCTTCTATGATCTAATTCATGATAAGTATTTTGTTATTGTTTTGTTACAATGTTTATGTATTTGCAACTAATATAATTATTCAAATAAATCATATCCCGTAACGTGGACTTTTAAAACAATATGCACGTATAAAGATACATAGAAATAGGAAACGTTACATGTTAATTTGATACAAATCATATTCTTTTTAATATATGTTATATAGGCTCGCCCGCCGCCCAACACTATGGATTTTACCGGCGAAGAACTGCCAAAACGGCAGAAAAGAAGATACAAGCGTTTCTTGGATCCAGCTTATCAAGAACATGATGTATCTGCCAAAACACATGATTTGTGGGTGAAGAGATCAGCATCGCGGCAAATGAATACAACAAACAGTCCGAGTAAGTATTGAATGATATATTTAGAGTATATATGTATGCAGGTTAAATACGTACGTAGATAAAAAAAGATTTTGTTGATAAAATGTCATATAAGAACACATACCGGATAAAACAGTTATTGTAATAAGTTGTACAAATGTTTATATATTATTATCCTTCGGTTTGAACAAAAGTTCTTTTAGTGCATTCGTTCTATATGAAATTGTACAATAATCACATTGTTAAACATGAAAATATATAGTTATAGTATATGGATCATTAATGTAGTAGTAATAAGGCCGCATTACGGTTCTGTATATTTTGAAATTCTTAATACCACTTTCCAAAATTCAAAATTGTTTCCCAACGTTTACTGCTAATGCAAGTTTTAGTTATTTATTGATCTTGATTCAAATGATGATGACCAGACTTTTTAATTGAAAATTACTATTACAAACTGTACAATAGGCTACAATGTACTGTAAAAACTTTTCAATATAGATCCATGTAATGTACCTGAACAATGCAAGGTATATTGAATTCAGACTTTATACATTTATTGATATGTTCGAAGTTTGTAAAAAATTTTTTTTAAACAAACCTCGAACATTATCTGAATACCTCAAATATAAAATTATTCAAACACCTCATATGCCCGACTGAATGAAATTATTGTACGCTGTATATATAGATTGTGCGGGTCACTACATAAAAGCGAGAAGGAAAAGTAAATATTAACAATAGGAATAAGAACGACTCCGTAAACGATTAGTCTCCAGTTACTTCAAATAGTACAAAATTAGTTTCGGTATTCGTTTTATTCATTACATTTATTTATTATCATTCTTATTTATTTAATAGAAGCCCCTAAGAAGGACACCCGACAATGGATGTAAACTTTGGGCAGGAGATTCTTTTTAATAAAAATAGTTAAAAAAAAAAAAACAACCGTAGTGGCCTTTTGTTACTACACCCAAAAAAAAATATTCTGCAGTTTAGCGGTTCCTGGTTCATGCTAGAGGATTTTCCTCTGAAATAGGGCCTTAAGAAGATGTTTTAAACTGTAGAGGAATATCCTCTAATCATGAGACTCTAGATTCAAGATTGTGCAGTCCTCTTAATATTAGAGGACATTGATTTTCGATTTTCACCCGAAATAAATAAAAAAAATTATTTATTTTGAAATTTTATTACTATTTTATAACTAAATTTGTTTCTTAAGATGTCGTCTATGATTATAAATATTTTCTTGTATTGGAAAAAACACTTACCTTGGTGGGATCGAACTCGGGACCTCTGGATCGTGAGTCAACTGCCTTACATGGTAGACCACTTCTTAATTTGATGTAAGTGTTATATATTGTCTACATAACCAGCGCAAATATATAATTTTCCAAAAATTATCTTAATAAACAAATTCAGTTTAAAAAGAGCAATAAAATTTTGAATTGGATATAAGATATATGATATAATATTTTTTAATGTCGGGTGAATGTCGGGGGAATAAAAATCAGAAATCAGTGTATAAATGCAGAATAAACAGTGACACAGGCAATAGACACAGGAGTTTCCGTCACGTTGGATATTATGTGTCTATTGCCTGTTGCCAACAAATCATAACATTCGAATATTTTAGGTTGTAATTAACGATTTTTTATTATTTCCTGTTCCTATTGCCTGTTGCCTGGCATTGTGCAAGGGGCTGAACTTTCTACACGGGCGTCTCGTGTGGTAGCGTACGCATCGCGTAGCTAATAAGATCGTCTTTTAACTTTAACGCGCGCGCCGCAAATATCTAGCATATCCTCTTATTTTAAGAGGCTAATAGTAGAATTTACTGTAGAGGAATTTACTCTTGATTATAGCTTACGCATCCACTCATTTATAAAGTAATACGTATTACTTAAAGAAGGATATTCTTCATGTAAGATTTTTTGCTTAGAGGAACTGCTAAGAGGAATTCCCCACTTATCGGCAGAATATTTTTTTTTGGGTGTACACTTATAATAACTGGTTCATATTCTATTAGCATTATATGGGTTATTGTAGCTCAATTAAGACGGCAAGATTTGGCCTTTTTGTGAAAGACCATTCTTTCAATCAACGAGATTGTTTTGAAATAAAGGTAATTCTTCAGAATAGGGCCTTTTCCGAATTTTGATATTTTCTTGCGGTTTTCTTGCTAAAAACCTTTGTTGTGACTCCGACAGTGATAATCAATCGGGGGAGCCCGAAAAATATGCACCCTACCTATTTTTTTTACCTATTTTTACTTTATTTTTGATAAATGTCTAGATTAAGGGCGCATACACTTTCCACGCGAACTGAGGTTCACGCACACCCCCCCCGTGCTTTCGGGGGAGGTGCGGTAGTCCCGAAATAGTTCACGCATACACTTTTCACGCGAACTGAGGTTCACGCACCCCCCCCGTGCTTTCGGGGGAGGTGCGGTAGTCCCGAAATAGTTCACGCATACACTTTCCACGCGAACCGAGGTTCATGCACACCCCCCCCGTGCTTTCGGGGGAGGTGCGGTAGTCCCGAAATAGTTCACACATACACTTTCCACGC